AACAGAGGGTGAAGCAGTTTCGCCGTGGTCAGAATCTCGAAGTGGCACGTGTTGACAACAAATGAAACCAAATGCCGGTTGGTGGTCAGAATCTCCCAAATCAACTCAAGACGAAAATCAAAATGCAAGGAAGGCCTCAAAAGAACAAACCAAGATGCCAGAAGCTCCTAAGATAGCTGGAAAGTAAAAGCTGTGCGTTCACCAAGCTCAAGAAAGCATTTGCAGAGCATCTCACCACCGATGATGATCAAGACATTGGCACCAATCCCCAAAAGTTCTTCCTTGAATTGTCTGATGCGAACGTTGGCAAGGAGCCAGAATCGTTGGATCACACTTCCAGTTCTCGGCTACTCACATTCATCTCCAAGCTCAACCTTCAACAGAAGAAGGATTGGCGTCGTTTGCACGATGCACGTAACACTTACTTTGCAACCCTAGCTCTAACCCAGATGAAAAGGCCTCCTTTGAAGGGTGGGCTTATTCCTGACAAACCCCTGCCTTGGGAACGAATGCCTTGGGACCCCATGCCTTCTTCAACGGGCGAGCCTACAATGATGCAAGAGTCAAGCGCCGGGTTGCCATACTTCGGGCACATGACGCCGCCGCTTCCTCCGACCACAATGGGTCAACAGGGTCAAGCTGTTCCTCCCGACACAATGGGGTTCCGGCGGAGCAGATACTCCTGGCTGACCGTGGATTTGGTGTGGGTGTAGCAACCTACCCAAGTGTCGCCTCCCTCCCTGTGGCTGCCAACAATGGAACCAATTCATTGCATCCATTTATGCCTCAGAATCAGAGCACCCAGATGAAACGTGGAGCCCGCAAACGCGGCTTGGCTGGCCCATTCGAGTTGGATGCCCCGTTGGCCAACTTTTCTGCCAAGGATGGAGGCAAGAAGAAGCAGTCCTTGAATAAGAAACGGAAACCACGTCGGAGTCGGGCTGACATGAAGGATTCTACCAAAGAACGGTCGAAACAATATTATCAATAATGGATGATGAGTAATTGATTCAATGACTGGGCTGCCCGGTCGTATGACGCCTACGAAATTGGCTGCTTTCTTGGAGATCATGAAAATGCAGGCCTAACAAATTAACTTGTATGAACGTGAATTGATGTTGTCCATGAATACCAAGGTAAAACAACTCCTAAACTCCATAAGACTCAAATACAGCCTTTTGCATTGACATATCATGTAGACTGGACGAAACGAGGAGGACCGCCAAAAACCAATCAAAGATATTCGAGACAGCATCTACTAGCTCTGCTGGTTCATATCTTTCCATTCTCCTCTCAGGGTTCGCGGCCACACAGGAGGAGTCGAGTCGAGTCGGCCAGCCCAGCAACTTTGGAACGCAGGTAGATGCGGTAACATATTATTGATACAATTATTTTACTTCCCCGGTTTCAGCGCTGGTTGCAGCACCGAACTCAACAGCACAACCCCACAAATCCAATGCTGTTGGCTTTCTCTTTCTCTTTTGCTATCTTTCTCATCACTGCTTCCCTTCACCATGGCTACTGGTACACCCACCGTAGCACAGCTTTGTGGCATGCTGGCTAGAGTTGTCGATATTGCTGATCAAGTAGAGGACTTTGGAGCATTTTGGGACACCATAGATGATGGTACATTTCCATGGCACTTGCTGCGATATTTGCCCTATTCCATTCCTTCCAACTTTTCAATGGCAAACGCTCAAGCACTCAGTTTGATTCTGGAAAAGCGTCCATTTGGCTTCCGTGTGAAATGGAACTTGGAGAGTGGAGAATTTGACAACTTCAACCAGGAGGCATTCTTCCATCTGATCTCCTCCGTGGCAAAGTCAGGCATCCACCATTTTCAGGTAGATCAGGGACCTCCAAGCTGCACTGGTGTCATCATGGACGGCCTGCAAAAATTTATCCAAGAGAAGTGGGGACACAGGTCCTTGAATTATTTGGACGAGATTTGATCCGTGACCCAAAAGATGCAATTTCCAACGGGAACCCAACCCATCTTGCATGCCTACGCCATGTCATTTCATCGTTTGAACAGTGCCACAACAATACTCTGGAAGAGCTGCATCTGGATGGTTATAGGGTTCGAATATCATGCCAAGAATTTTTGCAACTTTTGTCCTGTGGACTGCCAACGATCGAGCTATCTCGAGGTTGGATTGATCTCTTCCAAGTCCAAGAGGGTGAGCACCCTGTCTCGGACAACAAGGGGCCTCGAAGGCTTTTTCTGAGTTGTGTAGAAAACACCCCCGAAACCAGTGCACTCCTCATGCAACTTCTGGCCTCATGTTCCGCACTGGAGGAACTGAGCTTCGCCCCACTGAGCTTTTCCCCACATTCACACAATTTGCAATCAATGGAGGCAGACCACCAGTTCATTTTTCGCGTTTTTGAGGAAGTCAAGGTTCCAAATATAATCCTGCAACTCGAGGTGGACAATGATTGCAACTGGGAAAAAGTCTTCAGCCCTTTGAAAGACAATCACTTCTTGGAGAGCTGGCGGTTGGGCTGGATTTTCTGAATGGCCCTAGGTGGGAGGATTTTCTCTTGCCCACAGGGTGTGGGATTGGCTCTATATCCGTCTCTGCGGGGTACTCTGCAACATACTGGAAAAATCCAACACAACATTGGTGTATATCAGTTGGATGGACCCACAAAACCAATATCCAGAGGCAATGGATCCTGCTCATCATTGGACAGCCCTTAATTTCTTTGGGCGTGGACTGGTGCACAGTGGCGAATGCAAGAACATTGGGGATCTACTTGCTATCGCAAAAGCTTCGATTATGCGGAACGACACCTATGGGTTTGGGTTTACTTCCATTGCGTATGGATTGCTCCGAGAGTCACCCACATTGTGGGCCAAAGTTTGAGCACCATAGCTAGTTTATCCAAAAGAACCGCCATCAAAAATTCGTCCGCACATTCTTTCACTATCCACATTCTTCCACTATCCACACTGTCACTTCTACAACAACACCAACAACAATCTCCACCAATAGCGCCTCCACTGCCTTTCATGTTTTCTCTCTCGTTTGCTGCATGGCCTCAAATTAGTAACTTTGTGATCCTCCGTTGCTTTTCTTCTTCCTTTGCCTGCGACATGGGGTCTTCTCTCATTTGGGTGCTTCTTTGTGCTGTGGCAGCTCCGATGATTTTAATTTTTTGGGTGTTGGCTGGTTGCTTGTTGGCACCAAGAGAACAGAGGAGCGTCGGCGGACGGTTGCTTCGAGAAGAGGATGAAGAATCCTTCCGTGCATCGACGATTTGGGGGGTGCCCTGCGACAAGGATCCTTCGGCAGTGGTGGGCGACAGAGTTGCTGTCGTCATCGAAGACATCTAGAATGCTGCCGTGGCTGCATCGATACGGTTCGACTACGATACTCGTGTAGTCAAATGTATCGATTTGAGTAGAGATCTTCGCAAGCAAGTGGCCCATCGACTCAGTCAGACACGGAGCATCTCTTGTAAGTGGTACCGGTACTACATGTACTGGTACATGTACTGGTACTCGACCATGCAGTGCGATTCGGTTCAACAAAGTGGCAACCAATGGTGGCGAGAGTTATTGCAAGTTACAAGCATCTCTCTGAATGGAAGAGGTGTGAGCAGGATACCGGTTCTCGTTGCCTTCTTGGAATTGCTGTTCCCAAAAGATCCTCCTCGTCCCCGCTGAAGTGGTACTCGTGGCGGCATCAAACTATCTACTCCGAATACGATAAGGCTCTAGCTAGCTAGTAGCTAGAACGGGTTGAAGAAAGACAGCGGCTTGAAAAGATGCACGGTATTGTACCCGTACGTTTCGGCGGGAGGCAGGTCATCAACCAGTTCCAAACAGCCAATAAGACACCGCCTGATTTCGAGGTTTATGTAAGGGATTTTTTAGAGTATCTAGGAAACTACAACATGTAGTTATCTAGACTACGGAAGCCTGCGAGGGCGATGGACAAAAAATGTGAAGACATCGTACAATGATACAATGGTACGTACTGACACAGTGTAGATGTGCTGTGCTGCAAAAAGTTGGCAACCCAAGTCTTCAGGCTTCTGGCTTCTAGCTAGCTACATCGTAGCAGTGAAGTACGCAGTACGCAGTGACATTATGGGTCCACAGCCGGACAGATCAGCCGACGCGAGCGAGGCTCGCAGGGAGAAGAACGGGGGAACTATCTCGAAGCATTAATGAGAGTTTCTGACCACTACTTGTCTTCTTGAAGCACTTTGGCGGAACAAGATTGCAATGTTCAAGCTAATGTTCATCAGCCATCTTCAAACAAGAACTATGTTGTAACCACGTAACCACCACCGTAACCACCACAGGCCACAGGCCACAGTTTTACAAGCCCCGTTCGGGGTACCGTACACCGTATCACCGTATTAATAATAGAGTCCAAAGGCAGCATCCAAGATCGAAGACTCCACCTCCTTTCTCACTTGCACTCTGGTGGCGAACTCGACTTCTGCTTGCTTATTTAAAGAACTGCATCAAAGAACATGTGTCGCCTGAACTGTCCCAACAGTGGCTTCGCAGTTCGCTGTGGCTAGCAGACCACAGACTGTGTACGGCACGTAATTAATTGTGGAGTTGGAGCTCTGATGAAGTTGAACAAAAGAGCGATGACCCGAAGGAAGAATCGAACCACAGACTACACTTTGTAACCACTATTGCTCTTGACTTTGCAAGAAAATGCGACACCCTTCAAGTTCGTTCGGGTCTAGCCCTTTTGAAAGCATCCGAACGGTACGGTGGGTCAGTGGTCATGTATGTGCTCGGCACGGTTATATCTTACTACTGGACACTCCTTTGTGGCTATCGAAGGATTTATATTTATATATGTATATAGTATAAGTAGGCCAGCTCGGGTTTATTTTGGGCGCGAACAATACAGTCTTTACGTCCGCTGAAGGAGGCAGTGGTAAAGTATACCCACCAATATTCGTGTCTCAATCCATTTCCAAGATACCCCGGGAACCCAAATGAGTCCATTCGACAAACCATTCTGACAACACCAAAGTACCATGGTGTTGGGAAAACAATGAAGGCGTCCAAAACCAGATGCCATGGATGCACACAATGCAATGTCGGCAGTCTAATAGGAGAAGCTTCCAGTGGACAAGATCTCAATACCGCTTGGGATATCATCTTGCTCGCTGCTGCTACTGTCATCGTTATCCTTCTTGCTGCTGTCGTCATCGCTGTTATCTTCGCCCTTGACAGTAGAATCCTCATCATCTGACTTGTTGGTCTTTTGCTTCTTTGCAGGACTCTCGAGTGAATCGTCTTCATTGGTGTCACCGCTGTTGCTGGAGTCTTCGTTGGTGGATTCTGGGTTGCTCTTGGAGTCTTCTTCCGTGGATTCGTCCGTGGCTTCAGTCTTTTTGTTTGATTCTTCATCTTCGTGCTTCGAGTTGACCTTCTCTGCCGATGCCGGGGGCTTGGTGTCTTCTTCCTCTGCAGTCTTGTTTGGGTGGCTATCCACCTGAGTCATAATGCCCCACTTGAAGGGACGTTTGTGGATGCTGTCGATCTCACAGTCACTGGTGCCAGAACCAGAAGCTGGAGATCCAGTAGTTGCCACAGTTAGAACACTGGTTTCTTTACTGGCAACCGAGTCATCGAAAAGATCCAGTTTGGAAACGGAAGAGACGTCCACATCATCGTCAGAAGGTAAGCTGTCAATGAAGTTCTCGATACCCTTGAGTGCAATGCCTCCCATGTTTGTCTCATCCTCGCGGTCACTGTCTCCATCGACAAGCTCTGTCTCCAGGTCCACATCGCTCAGCCACCGATGGTATTGCATGATGTATGCATCCTCGTCGTATTCCCAAATCTGGCAGAACTCGGTCGTCTTGGCAGCTTCGGTCCATGGATCAGGGAAAAGGAGCTTGAACTGGAGGAGATGCTCAAAGATGAACATGTCAATGAAGTCATTTTCATGGGGTATCATCAAGCGAGTGCCATCTGGGAGCAAATACCGAACATAGTGGGCTCCAGTCATGTCAGACGGAAAGATGAATGCTCGCAAAGGCTGGTATCCAGTCGCCTTCCTTTTCTTGTTGATCGCGAGAAGTTTCTTGTTGGCATCACCACGCCAGTCCCAGCCCTTCATCATCATCTCATCCATCTTGGCCTCACAGTACGCCACCTCATCCTTGTATTGTTCTGCAGTGAGACGAACCAGCTTGTTGTCAGCCTTCTGGGGATTCTTCGTCAATCTTGGAACGGGGGTGTAATCATCGGGGACACATAGTTTGGCGAAGATGCTCTTGGAAGTCATGCTGCAATCACGAAAATGGGTGCTCTTACTGTAACTATCGATCTTGGTAGGTGCTCTGCCAAGTTGTGAGGGCTACAAGCCACACCGATTATCTTGCCACGACAGTGCAAGGAAAGCTCGAGCTGGAGTTGTCAGTTTGGAGTATCAGCATTGCAAAAATTTGGCTAAGCTGATTGGTGTGATAAACCAATGACAATATACCGGGCGTCTTCAAATAAGTTTGGCCTTCAGCAAATATTGACTTGGAATTTTGCTAAATCGTCTTCTCACATCTTGTGCATGTACTGGGCTGCTTCGCTATGGTGCTGTATGCCAACTAGAGTGTAGTAGTGACATTGTAGTGATGCTATGCATGTTTAATAATCATTATAGTACTACGTTTTTGGATTCATTCATTACTCTTTGTTGTTCTCTTTCTCTGGCATAGACGCCTTTTTCATATTCGATGCAATCTGTTTCACGACAGCATACGTAGTTGCTTTTCCTTTACCACCAAGTATCATTGCGCGATACCCTGTCGGATTGTCATAGAAAGAAACAAGCGAATCCAGCAGTTGCATGGTTGTTAGATCTTGGATTGGATCCTTCCCCTTTTCTTCAACTCGAAACAGCCTCAGATAAGTCACAAGACGTGCGAGTTGTCCATGATTGAGTGTCCCGAGGTAAGCATCGAACGTCTGTAACATCTTGGTCAAGCACCGACGTTTCGTAGACTTGGTTCTGAGACCACTCTGGTACAACTGTCTTGTGTTGCCTCTTGCACTTGCTTTTGCGGCGTCACCCCTTGCATTGGCACTTGTCTTTCGTAGCAATTCCAACTTCGAAACTAGCAAGCCATGCTTACTACGGAGATAGATAGCACCTGGACAGCTGTATCCTAGGTGCTTGTAACAGTCTTCGCAGTCACCAACAATGTTCCCTTGTCGCCACTGTAGGTGGCAAACGGACTCTGTAGCACGTACCATCTTGTTCGCAATTTGCTCAGGACCAGCGTGCAATTTCTGCTGCAACAGTTCTTGTTCGAAAGGCTGCTTGTCACCATCCAATGCCGCCAGGACAAGTCTTACTCGTCTCTGATCAATTGGAATACCGATCCGATGTCCTGCATTGACCAACCAACTGGATGCATTTCCGAACTCGTCTCTGCCAAGTTCAACAACATCAATTCCGTCACGCAAGAACCCAGTAATTCCAACAGCAAATTTAGATGGTGTTCGAGGAATCTCGATAGTACAGGCATCATTGCGCGAATTCGCATCTTCTTGCAGCAATCGCGGGGCAGTGTGCACTAGAAATGATGCTAGTGAAGCGTTCTTGGAACAATCAGCTGCGACACTCTTGATACCATGACGGTTGAAGCTTTCGTTAGGACAATTCGAAGGGTAGACACCCACTTCACCACTGCATGCGTAATTCCAGTTCCATTTGGGGAACTTGCAATATTCCTTCTCTAGATGATCAGCAGCATCCACTTCTCCCCTGTTCTCCCTCCAGTCGCGAAGGTACAGTTGAGTCACAGTTTGTCGTTGCTCGATGGATTTGGTTCGAGCGATGTTCGACACATGACCGTATGCTGTTCCTTTCGGCGCTGCAAAAGACTTGTTCTTGATTTTCTTCACGTAGCTCTTCCTTTGTGAGAATGGTTGCATGACATGGAAGAAGCAGTTAAGAACGGCTTCTCCTTCAATGCAGTTGTCATCGCTGGAAGTACTGTCTTCATCGTAGTCTACTTTGAGATTCGCATGCAACTTCCGTCCTGCCAGTAGGTGGCAAAAGTGGTTGCGAACCAGGGTACGGCAGTCCAGGTCTGGCAGAATAAGGTGGTTGATAATGCCAAGCATTGCGAGGATAGTAATACTGCGAGTATCCGTATGGATGAGGGGCATACTGATACGGTGCATAAGGACTACTGTACCACTGGTACGGCGGTGTGGTGTTTGCATCCACCCTATCCCGGTTTCCATTCTGTGGGGTGTCCGAATTGTCATTCCTATTTTCATCATTACGCGAGGGAATATCACGGTGCTGGAACGATGGCGAAGGCTGGAACGATGGCGAAGATTGGCGAGACGCCATGGTGTAGCTACAAAACTATCGCCAGAGCCCAATTCTGCGAGTAGAGGCAAAACTGACTAAATAGATATCTATTTTACCTTGGCGATCCCAGAACCCACGGCTTTGCTGCTTCGCCGAACTACTCCAAAATTGAGTTTCACACTCGCAAACTGCCTCTTTGGGTAGCCCAGAGAGCCATTTCCGACTTGGAAAATTCCAGCATCCATCTCCAAATTGTGAGTAGCAACCTTCGGAGGCGGCGTTGTCAGCCGAATTGGCTTCCCACATATGAATTGGTAGCCAAATTGTTCAAAGACTTAGGACTGCTCGCTTTCGCGCCGCTCATTTCAGGTTTTGTTGGTTAATGCTTCTTTGCGCATTCATTTCTCTCCCTCCAATGAAGAAAAGACCCGACCATGGCCACCCAAAACCATTTTGCATGCGATTCTTCCACTGTTGTACTTCATTGTTGTTGCACCTATTCCAGAAGACGGGCGCTCTTGCGAGAACAGTTGCATTTCATTGTGGTGCTGGGGGTTTCTTCTTTTGGATTATCCCAACATGATGCACTTTGCGACCATGAGAGCAGTTCATGCTGGGTCCCCTTGCATTTTGGACGTGAATCACGATGACATTCCCGTTTGTTTTGCCAACGGTAAGTTGTGCTGTTCTCATTTTGCCGTTACAAAAGTGAGAAAGTCATCACGCATGTCTCACCCAGTCTTAACCCTCACTTTTTCACCGGCAGGCGTCTTGGCCAATGTGTATGGCCAGGAGTACACTATTCCCGCTCGGCACCATCGATACCTCCCGGCCTACTTGAGTACTGTATCGGTTACCGGATCAGCTCTGGATCCCACCTTGTCGAGGATTCAGGTGCTGACCCGCTGCGAGGATCTTGCTGGAACCAGTCTGGAAACAAATAATAAGCCACTCATTAATGAGATTGTACTCAGTAAACTCGAGTACTCAGTACGTAATACGGTGTGTGCGAACTCAACAAACAACACACTAGCTAGCTATAGTGGCTGAGCACTCAGCACACTTCTATTACTAGCTAGAGCTCCAAAGTAGCATAGCATAGCCAATAATCGCCGTAGCAAGTACGTGTAGAGAGCTCTTCTACTACTAGTACTAGCTAGCTAGCTAGTCTACCAGCCAGAGTTGTCGCGAATTCGGTTGCTCTTGGACAACTAACTATTAATACTGGTACTGTACCGGTAGTACTCACTGCATCCAGAGCTCAAGAGTAGAGAACACAGCGTCATCATGAAAGTTGAAGCGGCGTCCTTGAAACCATTTATGGTTTCTAAGTCCCTCTACAGGTATCTACAGAGCTATCTACAGTACGGGTACCGGTTCAGTTCGGTTCTATGAACTATGAACCTTGAAGCATTTGCGAATTCTCCTCTCTGAATGTACGGTACGAACTAAGATTTCCTGGTGGAAGGCCACGTCGCTGTAGGTTCTACGGTCGCTCTCGTACTCAACCAATTTTGTACTGCTTTTCCCGTAGCCGCTGTAGGTTCTACGGTGCTCTCGTACTCAACTTTGTACTGGTTTTCCCGTAGCCGCTGTAGGTTCTACGGCGCTCTCGTACTCAACCAACTTTGTACTGGTTTTCCCGTAGCCGCTGTAGGTTCTACGGTGCTCTCGTACTCAACCAATTTTGTACTGTTTTCCCGTAGCCGCTGTAGGTTCTACGGTGCTCTCGTACTCAACCAATTTTGTACTGGTTTTCCCGTAGCCGCTGTAGGTTCTACGGTGCTCTCGTACTCAACCAATTTTGTACTGTGTTTCCCGTAGCCGCTGTAGGTTCTACGGTCGCTCTCGTACTCAACCAATTTTGTACCTGGTACTGTTTTTTGACTGAAAGAACCGTTTCGCCGTCGTTTTGATGTTTCGTTCCATTAGTACTTACCGGTGCTACACGCTTGGTGCTTTTTCCCAGTCCTATGCTACTCTGACGTTGAACAGAGGCTTGACTTTTGATGTGCCTGAAGGAACAGATATTGATGGGAACAACACTGACGGCAACTATGTCCGAGGTAGGACCATGAAGCAAGGCCGCCAATGCCGGCGCAACTACGCTGACAGTGAGGTATCATGTGTATCCCGTGCAAAGGGCTTGGACTGCCTGTCATGTTGGGGGCAACCCAAATCCAAACTTCCAACGATGCTATGCTCCAACTGGCACGATCGAGATTGATGGCATGGGTCTCCGGTACATGAAGACTTGCTTTGGAAGCTGGAAGCCACTCTCTTACATGTAGATCTATGTAGCCCGTAGCAGCAGTAACTGTTCTAGTCTAGCTGCTCGAGTACGTACTCAGTACCGGTACCAGTACGTACCCGGCAGTAGAAAGGGAGAGACCCTCAAACGCACGCGATGTAATACATGTAATACGTACAATGCGTATTCTACGTATTCCCGTATAATACGTATAACACGTATTACACGGTCGCCAGCCAGCCACCGTGACCGTTCGAGTGACCGTTCGCAAAATGGCTTCAACACCAATCTCCACCAATCTCCACAACACACACCATGAGATAAACCTCTCTCCTCTTGTTGCTTTGAAGGATACAGAGGTTTCTGTTGTTATTTGAAGATAGTACCATCATTGTGGGTAAGTAGGCAATGTGGTATGGCTTTGTTGAAGCCAAGAAGACTGTTTCTGTGGAAAGATAGAAGGATTTCTCTCCATTCAACTCCTTCTTCATTCTCCTGCCCCCACTCTCTTTATCAGGCTTTGTCAAGCTCACAGGACCATTCTCTTTGCATTCATATACTTCTGAAGGCTCACTGACGAAGCCTGTGGAAGATCTGGCCTTGATTTTCACCATCGTCAACAACTTCCTGTAGGGACCAGTACTGAACCCATGTAAGTACCCAAGCGCGCAACACGTGTTATGCATGATATACGTGTTATATGTGTTACCCGTGTTACCCGTGTTATACATATTAACTGTGTTGTACGTATTAACTGTGTTATACGTATAACACGTATTACCTGTGTTATATGTATTACCTGTGTTATACGTAGTACCGTGTTATACGTATTACCTGTGTTGGTCGTATTGTGCATGTTACCCGTGTTTGTTGTCTCACATATTTTCGTTTTCTTCATTAGTATTTTCGTTTAGGCATCATGTCGGGTTCTGACGATGAAGATGGTGGGCAAGACGCTGGAGAAGACGTTGCTCGAGAAGAGGAGAAGGATGACGAATCTGAGGAGGAGATTCCCTTTGGCCCTGACAATCCTGGTCCTTTTTTCCCCGAACAAATCACTCCCCGCAACTTTGTTACATGTATTCAAGAAGCCATTCCGATGACCGCGAAGCGCCGAAACGAAGATGGATCCATCACCACGCATCCTATCTACCAAACCTTGGCAATGTAACTCTCTTTCTGCAATGTCAGTATGTGTTGCGGTCAGATTATGGGCAGCCGCCATTTCCTTTTCACGGTATCTTCTTGCTTCACGTTTCTCGATACTTTGCTGTGACAAGTCGATGTCATGGTAAGGCTTCGGACCCATTGAATCCCCTTTCATTGCAGCATTCTCGACTTCACTTATCGTACTTGTGATTTGCCCAAAATGTGCTTTAGTTTGTAGGTGGTAACGAAAAATAAGTCCTTTTTTAGAAGAAAGACTCTACCAGGAAAACTTCAGCTTTTCTATCAGTTTCCCCCCAATCTTCCTCTGTGGAATCCTCGTCTTCGTCAAGTAGCCTGTCTGCAGCTGTCGCCCCTGATGGTACTTGAGAGATGGTACCGTCTGGCTTCACCAAAGACAAGACAACTCCTTGATGCAAACTCTTCCTTAGAGATTCGATTTGTTCGAAGTTAGAGATGAGCTGTCCGTTCATAAAGTAAATCTTAACAACACTTGGCGGAGGTGGTTCTTTAGGCATTGTTCCGTAGTGTAACGGCTTCTGTGCCAAATGAGTACTTAACACTTTAACTTGTGCCTCTTCAGTTGTAAGGCCACGATGAAGCTTGTTTCCTGTCTGGAACTTGGGTAGATACCTCTCATTCTCTC